TTGAGTGTTGAGTGTTGAGTGTTGAGTGTTGAGTGTTGAGTGTTGAGTGTTGAGTGTTGAGTGTTGAGTGTTGAGTGTTGAGTGCTGAGCATTGAGCGTGTTAAGAGAGTTCGTAGTATTGTTAATATCAAACTTTGTGTATTTGCACTTTGGAGGAGAGGTGGGAGAGGGAGGGGTATATATGTGTGTGAGTGGACGCGGAATCGCGTAAAAATGACGCGCTGTCAGCAGACAACTTTGTAAACATAAATAACCATTACATCATACACGCAACAAAAAAATTAAGTCATATCTTTATATTCCGTATAAAAAATTTTACTGGTCGATAGGCTAAAGAATCACACGTTATAGAAACATTTAGAAGGTTTTGAGAAGTACGAAATTTTTGGAAGTCACAAGTTGGAGCTCATACGCAATAAAACAGTCACATGGCATGGAAACATTTCGAAGGATAGTGGGAAATGTTTACGTATACACGTAGACTGATCGGAGTACGCGCAGTCCCGTGCCGTAAAAAAGTGTGGCGTGAGTGTATACGCACTAGCAATTTTTAGTATAATCTTTTCAGCCAAACCTGTTATCAAACTAAAGCTTTATGGTATCAAACAGTTACCCTCTTGTACGTCTGACTCTCTCAAACATACATTCTTTTGCCTGTCTTATGAAACTGGTTGTCAAAGCCTGCTTATCATTATTATTAAATCAATGTTTCTTCACGGTAACTGCTGTATAATAAGTGAAGCACAGCACACGCGTGGAGATTGTTATGGCAACAATTAAGGGAAACCTCTAGAGCTGCTAATAATATTTGTTAATGGATGTATGTCAACAAACAAACTGTAATAAGGTAAAGTTCATGCTTATTATGTCTTTATATAAGTATTTTTGATGCTGGTAATCATGTATAAGTATGTTACAATCGTATCAAAGTGAACCGTATACTCAGACGTTTGATTTCACAGAATCTGTATTAATATTAATACAAGGTATAGATAAACGTGTGCTAGCGCTTAATCTATTTATTCAGTTAAAGTATCAAGACGATATTCTTTACCATCCTTTCAGCAAATCTCTCGGATAACCTAAAGAAGTCAAAGTTATTTTCGGACAAGAGAAACGGAATGTCATAAAACGTTTGTACATGGTAGTAATTTCGGTATTGTTCTTGCCCGTATTTATTTGATTCCATTAATATCATCACATTTGGTTTTGGAACATCTACAGAAAAGTTACAGACGTAACATAATGTTACGTGAAGGGTACGTATTGGAATAGAATGCTTTTGTCATTGTCTGCAATGACAAGTGTTCTGCCATTTCATACGCGATTTCTGAGTCATCCTCCCGAGAAACAGCTAATCTTTCCAAAATATATCAAATTGATCAAGAAAACTAATTGTCAAAAGTATTATATTCACTTAGTGTTGGCAGTCTACTTGAAGACCTAAGAATCAAACTTAAATGAACACTAGAATAATTGGTCCAACACCAATGTATGTCAATAAGTACACATTCCCATAAAGGAATCAATCACTTTTTATCCTTTGCATTGCATTGAAGAATTTTAAATGTGATAGACTTGGGTTATCAACATGGAAAACAGAGATCCATTTGAATGGATGAAAGATTGCAAGCATCTTCAAGAGTAATGAACTTATTGTGGATGAAGTGAGGTGATATTTGGATACTAGCTGTGCATAGCACTAGAAGAAAGAAAGAACATGAATAGAATAGGTAGGTAGGAGAAACACTAGAAATAAAATACTCAAGTGAGTTTTACTTGTCTTGTCATGGTACTTTTTCACTGTATACAGAAGTGAAAAGTAGTTTACTTCTAGCCAATCAGTTTAATAGTAGGGAGTCTTTTTCTTTATGCTTGGATGGAGAATGGATTACAGATTGTTTATGATGTTTATTAACTAAGTGTTAACCCTGGATTTTTGACTTTTTGTGGGGTTTTGTATAGTTCTATTGACGTGACTAATCTTTGCAATAGTGATCCTGACTGTGCACTCGGAATATGAATATTGCAACATAAGAAGAGTGGGGGTGAGTGTTCTGATATTACTGTAAAATTGTCCGTGGAATTTTGTTTAATGTTATAACACTAGTGTCTTTTATTACACTTACATTCCACTTTTCGTTTTTGTATAATCCATGTCTAAACCTCCCCATAGCTCTCAGATCACCTACTGCTTGGTGCAAAACTTCTCTGAATCTACGCGAGTTACTCGAGGGTCGCACATATTAATATCTGTTAACCACACCTTCATCGAGATTGTCAATCACGTCAAGGCCAAAGAAAGCTTACATTCAGGTTATGCAGAAAGCTATTGAAACACCTGTGTCATTTTTAGATTATATTGTGGATGGTACAGAGATTCATCTTGTTGCGATTGATTTTACAGTATCGTCGAACGGGGATCCGCATAAATATAAAGAGAACAGCCTACATTATATTAATGGAGATAAAATGAATGATTATCAAAGGTGATTGGGAATGTTGGGAGTATCTGTATTAGTATGTAAAAAGGGATATGAAAGGGGTGAAGGGAGATGGGTAGCGGTACGGTTAAGGAGGAAAAGAAGGAGGCAAGAAGGAGGCTTGGAAAATGTTGGGTTACTTGACTTGGTGAGACGGAGACTAACATTAGCTTGTTGTTTTACAGTGCAGCAATACGATAGGAACAAGAAATTTGCGGTATTATTCTCGTTCTTATTCAGATGACATTTTTCACCGTATTATAACAGTGCTGTAACTCAACTTGTTATTTTCAGGTCTATGGATTTGGAGCAAAATTCAATCACGTCTTGTTTCATGCGTAGTATCCCCTTAATAATGATTTTGGAATGTTATTTTCTATAACTATAACCATCTTTCAGCATTTCCATAAATAGCGCTGTATCCCCGTCCCCTAACTAGTGCAATTATGATCAATAATTGTTTAAATATCCAATAAACGTGATGCATAAGTAAATAGTTTACCCGGAATAATACGAGTAGATTGTTAGACTATACAAGGTATATACGCCATAGTCGTCATCACATAAACAATCAAATGAAATCCATTCTAATATCTAATATTCTAATACAGAAATAAGCATCATTTACTGTTATTGAGATCTCCTAATAAAGTCATCGAGTCGCGTATTGTTGCTAGCAATCTGTCGTTGGATAATTGTTTATGTCCACAAATGCACCACACGGGATACGATGGAGCTTTTCACATACAGTGCAGAATCTATATCGCGAATCACAATGGTAAAAGGGTCTATTAGCAAGCATGTAATAGTTACCATCATTCTCGGTAAAACCATATATCTGCTTGAACTGATTATGTATATTCTAGGTAATTTCTGAGTTAAAATCCATTTTGAGTTTGTTAATTGTTGGATTATGCGTATACTTGAATAACAACAGTGAACAATATTGTGTCACATGGCAATATACAAAAGTAAAAATGATGGCGCAATCTTAGATGACAAAGATGAATAGCGGTATTTGTCATAAACACCTCAGTAGTCATTCCATCTTTTTCCTCCCCTCATCCGTCACCGGTATTGATATTGAAAATACGTACATACTCTACTTAAGATGAATAATAATTCACCTGACCTGTAAGACATGCTCATGTCGTGTAAAAACATATCTTTAATGTGAGTAGATTCAACATGAACCAGCGAAAAATCAGATCCACCACCTACAAAAGATTTTCCAACAGCTGAATTCATTTTTAAGAACGTTTTCGACTCGGGAATCATTTAGTTCAGACGCTAGTTGTTTCCAGCTTAAAGTGGTTCAGCAAATTGATCCGTGGTTGGACAATAAAACAGAAGGATATGCTGATAGATTGCTTGTTAAATGGCCACCTTTGTTAATACCATTGGAAATAAAAGTAAACTTGTACAGTCTGAGTTTGACGAGACGCGTAGAAGAAAAGCTCAAGAAATTCTTGATAATTGGAAAGTATGTTCATTATTCTTAGTTCGACGCTTAGTGCAAGCTGGGACTCTTAGTCTGAAGGATAGCTTTTAGTTTGATGCTTTATTTTCTATATTATTGTTATGAAATGTTTCTTTAAGCATTCTATATGGTTAACGGGACGGTGCTATATTGTTAAAGGAATGGTGTACACAAGTGAATAAGGATAAATTGAAATCCTCCGGTGTACTGCAGGTAGGCTTCTAATCTGAAAATTTTATAAATAAAAAGAATTAATTAACATTTTCGTCAATTAGGTAAAGAAGATTAAGCAACTTAAAAACATAACCGGGGATTTCGCAACTCAAAACTTCAATATTTTGAGAAAACATCCTCGAGATGCAGATGGTAAAGAGAATACTGAAGGAGCTATGACTTTGATGAAGAAGGTGAGGTTACAAATAATTTTTCAATGTTGCCTTAGGTAACAATTAGGTCACTAATATGTTTCATGCTTAGAACAAAGTAACTATTAATAACATTGTACAAGGACAATCAGAAACATCAGAAACTAAAGTATGAGAAATATTGGACAATACGTTCTTTTCCTTTACCGCATATACACTTACACACTTATTATATAGGTTGCAAAGAAAAATAATAAAGCTGATGAACTTTTCCAATATATGAGAAAACGCAATATATATGTGCTATGTGGACCATTTAGAAAATTGTCGGAACTGGATGCGGAGGACCGGTTTGAGAAAATTGTTTATGATACTACCGTTGAAATTGATATTCCCAAAGATATCAAAGAATATCTTCACGATTTGCTCAGTGGAGATATTGAAAGTGCGTTGTCAAAAGTAAAAGAGCCACTCAGTAAGGACGCGCGACCATTACTGTTATGGACAAATGAAGTTTGCCGGCACTTTATTTTTTACTTCTATTATGGCGGTTTACAGATAGACAGTGACGAAAAAACTTGGTCCAACCAAACAGTCTATCGCGTTTTTGATTTATTTTCGATGTTTTTTGGAAAATTGACGTCAGGAATTGCCTTGTAAGTTTTTAATTTTTGAACTTTTGCTTTATGATAATTTTGACACTATTTTTGGCCTTTAGCGGAGAAATTGTAAATAAAGCTCAGAAAAACCAGTCAAATTCAAAGAGAGGTGACAAGAACGATGCCGTCTTGTATCAGGATAATAATGCTACAGTTATATACGAACAGTCTTTTGGGCCTACAAAATTTTATTCAAAGCATTATATGGAAAATATAATGAAATTAGCGCGTAACGGAGTAGATGATCTAAACTATTACTTCTTGCAGTATGGAAAATCCTCCGTAACAACGGCGAAAAAACTCAAATCTATCGGCATTCATGGATATAGTATGTAATTTTCTTTTGTTTTTGCATGAATGGGGTTTTATGTTAAGGCTTACCTAACTTATATGCTTTTAGAATACTCTCTGTCAATCTACCTCACAGATCTTCTTTGTAGGAAACTGTATAGAATATATGAAATATTTAATTGTAAAATTCCGACATCATATACGGATCGATGGTTTCTAGCTGATATTGTGCGGATAGGCGTCTATTTTGAGGTATTTTTTTTGCAAGACATAAAATGTATCTCATTTACTATTACTTATCGCGGGGTTTATTCACCATTATAGGCATTGCTTGCAGAACGACAATCTGTGAAAGGAAAAATGGGTGGAGAAAACATGACCAATGAAGATGGTTTTGATTGTGTGCGCAATTGGATATCAGTTCCGGATTACACTGCTGAAACAAAAAAAACAAAGTGTTCACAAAAACAATAACTTTTCTATAAACATATTTTGTACTGAACTTATTTGTGTCAAGTAAAGACTGAATTTAATAAAAAAATAAAGTTTAGTGTTTTAGGTATACGTTTGCAAAGACAACATAAGACACATGAAGGCTGAGGATCTGATGTCTGATGTTAAGTAATAATGTAGCATAGATAATCTCACTTATAAAACAAGATTACTTATAGCTGGAATAAGAAAAATTTGTCTATATAATTATTCCGTAGCTATATAATGGGTTGTATCAAAATAAAAAATTTTTATGCAAATACATATGTGTTCTGGAGTATATAGTTGATAAAATCAAATAAGTCTAAATTCCTAAATACAATATAAATCTCATAATCTATAAAACACATTATAATTAGGTCGTATAAATGGCTAGCTTAAGTGAAAGACGTGGAACCATTGTACTGTCGAGGCAATAGTCATGGGAGAGCGGATAACTACTGTCTCGGTTTGGGATCTAGCTGCGCCGTCGTAGGAGT